TAGATGAACTTTGCTAGTTGGTCATTTACTAGGAACAATTCTCTTTTTTCTTATAAAGTATTTCACTACAAATTGGAGCTTCTGTATGTTACATTTTCGTATGGGAAACGCCAGGTTAAATTTGGGTTGCATATGAGGAGAACATCGTTTTATAAAAATGCCTGTGATTGTCATCCAGTAAAAGCTGACCTGAGGTGACCCTCACAGCCAGTAGTCCTTCACTACTGAGGCTGCCCCTAGTGAATCATGTGCTACTGAATAGGGCCAGTACGTGCCAACAGGAAACCATACAGCGCATTAACTCAACAGCAGTGTAAGTCACCACATCCTTCATAAAATGCCTTCACTTTAAGGCCTCACTACTTCAGCATATAATATCAATGCAGTCTAGGTTGTATAGGCCTAGCCTACTGATCGTTTGTTCTTCATCCTTTTATGGCTCATTACTAGTTGATATCATAGTTGTGTTCATATACGTTTTTCTCATGTCAGAACACACTCAGACTAAGTATTTTTGCATCTGTTTTCTATATCATGCTGGATAAACATGGCATGCATACAGTACATTTACCAACTGGAATCACTTCATCCGCACTGAAACCACGTCATAGTTTTTCCGCTAGAGATAAAAGGAACAACCAGGGAACACAGCTGGTCACGCCCGACAAACCTCACTGCTGTCAGTGAAGATTAACTGCTTTTTTGGCAAACCCCAGGAAAGTGGGACCATCTGCTGTTTTATGACCAGTCTTGGTACGCCCAGTGTTCTACCAGTATCGATCTTCCGTTGACGCTGGCATAAACATACGGAATTTAAAACAATTCAGTTTACTTTATGTCAAATTGGTTTTTGACAAAAAAAAAAAAATTGTAGCCTGTACTCTACAGAATGACAGTCCCTTTTCAAGGGTAGATGCATACATGTTTTATTCAGGAAAATACTGTATATGACTACAGCAATGCTGGGTGCCTAGCTTCCCGTGCGTAACGGTGCGTAAATGCAGCACTCCAAAACATCCTGCGTGCCCTCAAATGTTCTTCTCACGCTGTTAATGAAACCAATCAAGCGAGAGTGTGTCAAAACAGTGTGTGCCTGCATCCCAAGAACATTATATACGAGCCAGATACTAATTAGGTCTTTCCTCTTTAAAGGATAAGCCGGCCATTTTTAAACAATACTCATACATTGACTGAAACCAAAATGAATGACCTCTGCTCATGTCTCCAACCTGAATTAGTTTTTCCTCATAGACCACCTTTGCTCAAAAATGATTAAAAACACCTGCACTAATATGTTTCTAAGCGACGCAAGACCTGAATATTTATTAAAAATGTTACCCTAAAACCTCCAAGCAGTCATCTGAAGTAAACAGTCAGCTGCGCACCCATGTTGTTAATGTTTGTCAACTAAATGGAGAAAGTACAAACACTCACCATAAATGTTTATACATATCATTCAGTTTGTGATTTTTATAGCATTAGTCAAATACTAAAGAACAACAATACAATCATATATTTTGAATATCATGCTTTTTAAAATTCATTTATTGAGGGGGAAAAAACTTTACAGTGTTAATTTACTCAAAGTTGTCATTAGGAGTGAAACTGTTTATGTACTCAACGATAATGTGCTTTTTGAGAATATTTAAAGCAGTTGCAAAATAAAAGTAAAAACATTATGAATTCCATTAACAAAAAGTGCCCAGCAGTGATTATAACTCCAGAATCATAGAATATACAATCAGTAGTAATTGTTACAGTATTGCTAACTGAACTTTGTGATTCAAACTAGAAACCTTAATCCTTAATCATTTTAAAAATTTCCATTCCTGTAACACCAGATTAACCCTCTGTGTCTGGATGCCAAGTCTTTATGCTGTTTATTCTTAAGCCTCATCTGTCTGTGGCTCCCTCTCGCCTTCACCATGCTCAACCTCTCCACGTATTTCCTCATAGCCTCTAGCTGTCACAAACCAGACAGTCTTCTCCTCCTCTTCACCAGCACTACCGCCACTACTATCACCACTGCCATCATACCCATCACCCCAAAGGCTATCCCTGCCTTTTTTCCACTGGACATCTGATTCGAATCTGGGTTCAGCCTTTCCATTATTTTCTTGATTTCCTCTGTTTTGGCCAGTTTCCACATTTTGGTCTGCCCCACCCTGACCCAGCTCTTTTCCCCCTCCGTCATCACCATTACTGTGTTGGTGGCTTGCATGCTGAGAAGTGGAGCGTTAGTGAAAGGGGGCAGATGGATTGGTTGAAGCTGCCCACCTGTGAACTGTTCTGACCTAACACAATAAAGAATTTCACAGCCGTCACTCACTGTAGCAAGGTGCTGACTGTACGTGGGAGGGCAGCGACGTTG